CCTTTCTGAATGCTTCTTTTTTCAAATTATACTATATTAAAAGTTGGTCACATTCTTACTTTCCCATTAGTTGCTATTCATGCAAATCACTGCAAAAATAGTTTTTAATTATGACGGGGAAAAATGATCTTTGTGAGATTATCAAATTTCCTAACCCATGACAACAGTTTTTAAGGCTTTGTAGTTCTGCTTATGTATTTTTGATTAATTGGATAAATGAATTCAGGTTGTCCTGAGTAAAATACCCTGAAATTAGCACCATATTCAGAAAGCATTATCAAATCCATTATAGCTAAAAAGTTAAAATACCTGATCAAATGCAAAGCAAAGGGAAGAAAAAGTTGAGTTGTCATCCCATTACTGACAAACTGAATGAATAAAATAGTTATAGGATGATGGTAATAATATTCCAAAAGGAAGTATGAAGAGTGTGTAGAAATTTAAATAAAAATGACTACCATATTATATATAAGCTACACAATTATCATTAAAATCTATTTTAAATGAATTTATTGATACAAAAATTTTTCTGCATACTATCTATTGTATATTTTGTATATTGTATATTTTTAAAAAGAATTTTCTTTCTAGACTACATAACTCTCTGCTCTGTGCTTCTAATTAAGACACATACTGTTGTTTAGAGCTTTGTGGTATGAAATTAGACCTGCAGTTTTCTAATATCCATAAAATAAATTTTAAAAACGTTCCTCCTCTGAAAGGCAGATAATGCAGTCACAGAGAGCTTATTTCTATGTTCCCTTTGTTTTCGTTTTTTTTAGCTGCTTGGTAAGCCAATTTTCTACTTAGAATCTACTGTTAAAGCTCTCATTTGGTTCAGTATGTGGGCTTTATCCTTTCCATGGTCTGTTATGCAAAAAAAAAAAAGAAAAAAAAGCCTGCCTTCAAAAAAAATTTTGTTTAACTTTGCTGTAAAACAGTGGTTCTCAGCTTGGATGCATATGAGAATCACCTAGGGAACCTTTGAAAGAATACAGATGCGCTCTCCCCCTCACCCCACCCCCCCAATTCTGATGTAACTGGTCTGGATGGCCCCCTTTATAAAAGCTCCCCAGGTGACTGTAATGTGCTGCCAAGGCTAGAAACCACTGCTCTAGAATCCTGCCAGTGTCCAAAGAAAAGCTTATTATCTGTTCTGATTAAACCTGGACAGGAAATGCTTTTTAAAATTCCATATTTTAATAGATTCAAAGATTACATTTTCTCTCTACGGGGCTGCTATTGTTTCAGTTTGAATTTTAGGGTTTAATAGCACAGTGTATTTTTTATTCTGATGATTAGTTCAAGAAGTCCATTGGCCACTACTGAAAAAAAATTAAAAAGAGATATGCCTGAACACTGTTTTTATAGACTGGTGGTTTTAGCTCATGATATTTTGAAACACTTGCTACAATTCATAGTTAAAGACAATTATGTCTTCACAAATAAAAAAGACAAACAATTATTTCCCCAGACATTTCTTCTGAAAAACATCCACCTTTTGCATATTCAAGTTCACGTGAGGATCTAAGAATAAATCTTTACGTATTTTTCCAAAAGGTTAATTTGACAGAATGACTAGAAGCCTAAATCCTAAGAGAAAATTACTTCCCCCAAAAATGAATTATATATCTTCATATATCAGTATTTAAAAAGGGGACATTAAATATAAAATTAGTGGTGAATAAAAAATCATGTGCAAATATCATATACAACTTTATGAAAATATGTGCAAATATTTATATAAAATGGATAATTCTCTAGAAATACAAATGATGAAAAATGACTCAAAGAACAAATAAAAATCTCCCAAAACAATCCTTAAAAAATGGAATCAGTGATGAAAAATCTACCCTTTCTGAAAGACACCACACACAGGCATTTTATAGATGAGTTTTACCAACTTCCTTCCTGGTAGTGTTTCAGATAGGGGAAAAAGAAAAAACAAGTTATATCATCCCATAGGTTAAGATAACCTTGATGTCAAGTCTAAAAGTGATAATAAAAGAAAGTAAAATTGTGTACTAATCTCACATTTGAGTGCATTATGAAGCCTCTTTAACCTTCACTCCTTACCATCCCTCTAAGTAGACTCAACTACTCGCCTTTGGTTCCCACTATACGGAGTCCTGGTGGTGCAGTGGTTAAGAGATCGGCTGCTAATCAAAAAGTCGGCAGTTCGAATGCACCAGCCGTTCCTTGGAAACCCTAGGAGGCAGTTCTACTCTGTCCTGTAGGGTCGCTATGAGTTGGAACTATGGTAACGGGTATAGGTACACATACTCTACCCATAACACCTTTACCACTTCAGTGTACTAAACACATTTTCATATTTGTCTCTCATGGTGAACACGAAGATCTTTGCAAGGAGTGTTTCTTATTATCTTTGTATCCCCAGCATGTAATCCACAGTGCTCAAGCTCAATAATTACTGAATGATGTGGGAAGAGAGAAGGAAAGGTCTTTTGGGTAGAAACACCATTAACGTGCACATGCAGGATATGGGAAATAATGAGGTAATGAGTAAATTCATTTGGTTATAGCATAGATTTGTATAAGGAAAATAACCCTAGAGCCAGTCAAGGTGGGCTTTTCAGTGCCAAGGCTGTGTTTGGCTTGGGCATTTACTGAAGACATTTGAGCAGAACAATGGCTGAATCCGATTTGTGCTTCAAAATCCAGATAAGCACCTATCTGGTTTAAACACTTCATTTTAAAAATTAGAAAACTAAAGCCAGAGAAAGTAAGTGATCTACCCAAGGCCACAGAACACATAATTGACTAGAAGCAGGCAGAAGCTTGGAGGAATTAAGCTTGATTAAGGTCACACGGTACAGTATAACCTGCAAAAGCTGGAACCTGTGTAAGGTGGGAACCTGTCGGAGGAGGAAAACTCACTGGGTGTTTATGAGGTAGGATTCTTTTTTTTTTTTAATTGTACTTTAGATGAAGGTTTACAGAGCAAATTAGTTTCTCATTAAACAATACACATATTGTTTTGTGACACTGGTTGCCAACTGCACCACATGTCAACACTCTCCCCTTCTCAACCATGGGTTCCTGGTTACCAGCTTTCCTGTCCCCTCCTGCCTTCTCGTCTTTGCCCATGAGCTGGTGTACCCATTTAGTCTCATTTTGTTTTATGGGCCTGTCTAATCTTTGGCTGAAGGGTGAACCTCTGGAGTGCCTTCAGTACTAAGTTAAAAGGGTGTCGTACTCTTGGGGTTTCTCCAGTCTCTGTCAGACCAGTAAGTCTGGTCTTTTTTTGTGAGTTAGAATTTTGTTCTACATTTTTCTCCAGCTCTGTCCAGGACCCTCTATAGTGATACTTGTCAAAGCAGTCAGTGGTGGTAGCCAGGCACCATCTAGTTTGCTAGACTACGAGGTAGGATTCTTAATAGAGAGTGAGAGAAAAGTGTTAAGCACCCTGTCAAAGATGGAAAACACGTGAGACCAGGAAAAACAAGCAGTCCCGTCAAGTTCTGGCTCTCACAGTTTTCACTGTACATGGTCCTACCAACAGGTAAACCCAAGTTCGTCCAACTCCAAAGTCAATGACCTAGATGACACCAGGAGATGTAGACCATATGCATATCTTTTTAGCATCATCCTCATTTCATGTAATACATTCATTTAAATAAAGGTAATCTGTATAATGTATAACTTACGGCTGACTTAATTATCTTTGTTTTATAGGACAGAATACTTAATTGAATTCTAATTAGCTCTGTTACATTCAGTCATTTTGATGAAGTCTTTTACTCAATGAGCTCCTGGGATGAAGGTAAGAAAAATGGTGGGCATGGTCAGGAATAAGAAACAAAGTGCTCCCCTAACTTCACAAAATCACTAGGGACCCAAACATAGAACACTTTAGTCACTGCCACTGAATTAGAAAACTTCCAGCAAAAGGAAACTAAAATACCTAGCGGAAATTGAGAGGATTTCTAAAGAAGACAGAATTAAAAATAAAAGGAATTAGGACTCTACCATTTTAAAAGACATCCTGAAAGTTTAATAAAACCAGAAGAGGGAGGTAGGGATAGAGAAAACCTGGATTTATTCGTTGTATCTCAGAATAATAATTTTAAGAACTACTCTTTAAAGCCTAAAAGATAATAGATTTAGAGAAAATATAGGAACATACTATTTTTACCCAGGTTAAAAACTAAAAAAAAAAAAAGGTGGGGGGGAGCTCTTTTAAAGTTTTTTTTTTAAAGGAGAAAAGAGATTTTCGTATTCAAAGTACTGGTACAAGCTGAAAATACACAGAGGTTCACATATGTAAGTGTATGACTGAGTCACAGTTAGGAGCAGATAGGCTGGGGCTATTGTCCTCATCCCCTAGATTAGCCCTTTTGGTGCTCCTGTCCAAGGCAGGATCTTGGAGTGAGGAAGACATTGTTTTAAAGCACTCTTTACATATTCTTGTCCCAGCCATGGTTTGACACTACAGGGTCTTGTATAAAACAGGCATTTGACTAAAGTTTGTTAATTGACTGATTGAAGTTTGAAGAGGTTGATTTATAACACAGCTTTAATAGGCATGAAATCGTGAGCAAACAGGAATGATGGTACTCATAATGATATTAATAAGAATCATAATAGTGAACAGTGACTCAGAGTTTACTATATGCAGGTACTGCTCTAAATGCATGTATTAACTCATTTATCTTTATTAACACTATTTTTCAAATAATGAAATTGTGGCCTACAGAGATTAAAAACTTGCTCAAGAACAGAGAGTGGGAGAGCTAGGGTTTGAACCCAGGAGTTTGTGTTATTAATCACAGTGCTATCCCAGCCAGCCTTGGAATTGTCTGGGTATCCTCTAGACATGGTACTTTAAGATCTCATTTCATATGTAATTTTCTTTTTTCAGTGTTTAAAGAAATAAATTATAGTTTAAAAAATTATTCACATTTACTTCAGGATAGAAAAACTAGTCATCATATTTTATTTGCTCTTCATTAAAATGCATATATTTGTTTTAGTTTTACCTCCAGTCTTCCCTGAGCATGACCCAGGAGCAGCAGATTGGCTCTGTCCTTCTCAGAAGAAATAGGGGCCCAAGGCCAAGCATCATCACTGTACAGGGGCCACCAGCAAACAACCATATCCTGAACACAATTGATAGCTAGATGACGCTCTGTTGTCCTGTTTACTGGGCCAGGTATTTCATAATAGGAAATCTAATGGTTTAAAAAAAAGCATACAGAAAACATCTCTTAAAAGATGCAAAAATCCTCAAAATATTAAAAAAATTAAAGCATCTATAAATGCAAGTAAATATGCACATTAAATATGGGCTTAAGGAGATGTCAGAATTTACCAAATTCATTTGACACGTATATAAAAAAGACGTTCGTTCAAAATTCTCCCCATTTTCAGCAGAGGAAAAGAAAAGGAAAAATGTGAGTTAGGAAGGAACTGGCTCTAGCAATTCCAATCAATACCAAAATGTACAGTCATGGTTGCTTGACAGCATCGACCTACACATAAGATTTAAGACCAGCTGTATTAAATGACAAGTTCAGTACTGCTGACCAAGAGTGGCTGACTACTGTTGAAGACATAACACATTAACAATGACTGACAACAATAAAAGGAAAAACAACTCGAGGCAAATATTTCTTTAAAGAATATATGAGACCTATGCACATATATTCTGCATAAAAGGGATAAGCCACAGCATCATGCGTAAAAGTTTATGCAGCTTCTGCGAATTATGCTTCTCTTTCTTAGGAAGGATTTGTAGAAATTATTATTCAAACTATGTTATTTTGGAACATGGTTATTTGAAAACATAAGCACGGCACCATCTGGGTGATACATGCCAAGGAAATATAGATTGCACCGTATTTCTGCTGAAGGAATTAATGGAAGGTTGATAGCTTGGAAGGAAAAAAAAAAAAACCTATCTTGCCATTGCTGGTCAGCAATAATCGAACCACTTTCTGGGGATTAAGCGCATGGCTAAGCCTACTGGACCAGACACTAGCAAAGGGCAGGGGGTCTTCTTATCAGAGAAATGCTTCTGGAGCCAGTCTCACTACATGACAGATTGCTTTCATATTCCTGTCTGCAAGGCAACAAAGGATGGCAGTAATGCGATAATGCCAGAGTGCAATGGGTGTTAAGAACCCGTTGCATTTATGTATTGTATTTAGTAAATAATCAGGCTCATCCAAATTGTGATCTCACCACTCAACCAAGGCCATTAAAATCAAGGTTAATGCTTTAATAATCCTCTATTTCTTTTAATATGGTCGAAAGGAACCCTTTTCTATTTGCATGGCCGTAATATTATTGACCTCTTCATCCTCTGAAAGCACATCAAAAGGAACTGAAATCAAAGTAATTACCAGTGTTGTTCTCTCACGGTAAACATTTAACTCCTTGCACTTCCCTTCACTATTCAATAAAGGAACTGGATTTTAAAAATGTAAACAGGAAAACTTGTTAAAGGTAAATAGTTTCAGGATATTTACACTGCAGTTTTCTTTGCCAAAATTATTTCAATCTGAACAAATTAAAGTATGGTATAGCTATAAAGAAAAGCAGAATTATAATACTCTACACCACTTCTTAAGTTTTAAAATCCAAATGGACAATGTCAGAAGTACTTAAGCTTTCAAACGCACATTCTTATATTTAGGCTCCCAGTATGAGTATTTTAACTAGCTATGTACTTATTAGAGATAAATACTACAATGGGATTGGTAAATCCGTAAAAATAAACATTGTGATGTCCTACTTGCCACACAGATATTTACTTACAAATTTCTAGATGAGGAAATAAGAGTTAAAACTAGCAGCTGGCATCTTCAGTCCTCACAAAATGAATATCATTTATGTTATCTGAAATTTCATGTTCTCTATGAGTTTTCATGGCATCAGTACTCTATCATGATTGGCAAGTAGACAAGTAAAATGAACAAGTTTCTTCAAATATCCAATACTTAGTTTTGACTAAGTATTGTTATTGTTGTCATTGGGTGCCTTCGAGTCGGTTCCGACTCACAGCCCGGGCCTGCACCATCCTCACTATCATTCTTATGTTTAAGCCCATTGCTGCAGCCCCGTGTCAATTCATCTCATTGAGGGTCTTCCTCTTTTTCACTGACCCTCTACCTTACCAAGCATGATGTCTTTCTACAGGGATTGGTCCAAAGTATGTAAGATGTAGTCTCGCCATCCTCGCTTCTAAGGAGCATTCTGGCAGTACTTCTTCCAAGATAGATTTGTTTGTTCTTCTGGCAGTCCATGGTATATTCAATACTCTTCTCCAACACCACAATTCAAAGGCTTCGATTCTCCTTCAGTCTTCCTTATTCATTCAGCTTTTGCATGCATACGAGGCAATTGAAAATACCATAGCTTGGGTCAGGCATACCTTAGCCCTCAAGGTGACATCTTTGCATTTCAACACGTTAAAGAGGTCTTTTGCAGCAGATTTGTCTAATGTAATACGTTGTTTGACTTCCTGACTGCTGCTTCCATGGGCGTTGATTGTGGATCCCAGGAAAATGAAATCACTGACAACGTCAATATTTTATCTGTTTATCATGATGTTGCTTATTGGTCCAATTGTGAGGATTTTTGTTTTCTTTATGTTGAGGTGTAATCCATACTGAAGGCTGTATTCTTTGATCTTTATCAGTAAGTGCTTCAAGTCCTCTTACTTTCAGCAAGTAAGGCTGTGTCATTTGTATAACACAGGTTTTTAAAGAGTCTTCCTCCAACCTTGATGCCCCGTTCTTCTTCATATAGTCCAGCTTCTCGAATTATTTGCTCAGCTTACAGACTGAACAAGTATGGTGAAAGGATACAACCCTGATGCACACCTTTCCTGACTTTAAACCATGCAGTATCCCCTTGTTGTGTTCGAATGACTGCCTCTTGGTCTATGGACAAGTTCCTCATGAGCACAATGAAGTGTTCTGGAATTCCCATTCATCGCTATGTTATCCATAATCTGTTATGATTCACACAGTCAAATGCCTTTGCATAGTCAATAAAACACAGGTAAACATCTTTGTAGTATTCTCTGCTTTCAGCCAAGATCCATTTGACATCAGCAGTGATATCCCTCTTCCAATTCCTCTTCTGAATCCAGCTTGAATTTCTGGCAGTTCCCTGTTGATGTACTGCTGCAACCATTTTTTAATTATCTTCAGCAAAATTTTACTTGTATGTGATATTAATGAAATTGTTCAATAATTTCCTCATTCTGTTGGATCACCCTTCTTTGGAATGGGCACAAATATGGATCTATAACAGTCAGTTGGTCAGGTAGCTTTCTTCCAAATTTCTTGGCATAGACGAGTAAGTGCTTCCAGAATTGCATCCATTTATTGAAATGTCTCAATTGCTATTCTGTCATTTCATGGAGCCTTGTTTTGGCCAGTGCCTTCAGTGCAGCTTCAATTTTTTCCTTTAGTACTGTCTTAGTTATCTAGTACTGCTGTAACAGAAATACTACAAGTGGATGGCTTTAACAAAGAGAAGTTTATTCTCTCACAGTTTAGGAGACTAGAAGTCTGAATTCAGGGCACCAGCTCCAGGTGAAGGCTTTCTCTCTGTCGGCTCTGGGGGAAGGTACTTTTCATCAATCTTCCCCTGGTCTAGGAGTGTCTCAGCGCAGGGACCCCAGGTCCAAAGGATGCACTCTGCTCCTGGCTCTGTATTCTTGGTGGTAGGAGGTTCCCCTGACTCTCTGCTTGCTTCTGTTTTATATCTCAAAAGAGACTGACTCAAGATACAACCTAATCTTGTAGACTGAGTCCTGCCTCATTAACATAACTGCCTCTAATCCTGTCTCATTGACATCATAGATGTAGGATTTACAACATATAGGAAAATCATATCAGATGACAAAATGGTGGACAATCACACAATACTGGGAATCATGGCCTAGCCAAGTTGACACACATTTTTGGGGGACACAATCCAATTCATAACAAGTACTATCAGTTCTCAATCGATACCTCCTGAAATGGCTGAACATCAACCAATTCTTTTTGGCACAGTAATTCTGTGTATTCCTTCCATCTTTTTTTGATACCTTCTGCATCGTTCAATATTTTGCCCATGTTGTTGTTTTTAGGTGCCATCAAGTCGGTTCCTATTCATAGTGACCCTATGTACAATAGAAGGAAACACGGCTCGGTCTTGCACCATCCTCACATTCATTTCTATGTTTGAACCCATGTTAAAGCCACTGTGTCAGTCCGTCTCCTTGAAGGTCTTCCCCTTTCTCCCTGACCCTCTACTTTACCAAGCATGATGTCTTTCTCTAGGGACTGGTCCCTCCTGATAACATGGCCTAAGTACTTGAGACAAAGTCTCGCCATCCTCACTTCTAAGGAGCATTCTGGCTGTACTTCTTCCAAGACAAATTTGTTCATTCCTCTGGCAGTCCACAGTATATTCAATATTCTTTGCCAACACAATAATTCAAAAGCATCAATTCTTATTTGGTCTTCCTTATTCTTTGTTCCGTTTTCACATGCATATGAGGTGATTGAAAACACCATGGCTTGAATCAGGTGCACCTTAGTCCTCAAAGTGACATTTTTGCTTTTTTAGCACTTTAAAGAGATCTTTTGCAGCAGATTTGCCCAATGCAATACGTCATTTGATTTCTTGACTGCTGCTTCCAAGGGCATTGATTGTGGATCCAAGTAATATGAAATCCTTGACAACTTTGATCTTTTCTCTGTTGATCATTTAGCCCACAGAATCCATCAATACTGCAACTCAAGGCTTGAATTTTTTCTTCATTTCTTTCAGCTTCCAGGTCTTTGCACATTTCATTATAATACTTTACTTTGTCTTCTCGAGCTGCCCTTTGAAATCTTCTGTTCAGCTTTTTTATGTGATCATTTCTTCTGCTTGGTTTAGCTACTCTACTTTTAAGAGCAAGTTTCAGAGTCTCTTCTGGCATCCATTTGGGTCTTTTCTTTCTTTCCTGTCTTTTTAATGATGTTTTGCTTTCTTCATGTATGATGTGCTTGATGTCATTCCACAACTCGTCTGGTATTTGGTCATTAGTATTCAGTGCGTCAAATCTATTCTTTGGATAGTATCTAAGTTCAAGTGGGATATACTCAAGGTCATACTTTGGCTCTCGTGGACTTGTTTTAATTTTCTTTAGGCTTCAGCTTGAACTTGTATAAGAGCAATTGATGGTCTTTTCCACAGTCGGCCCCTGGCCTTGTTCTGACTGATGATATTGAGCTTCTCCATCCTCTCTTTCCACAGATATATTCAATTCGACTCCTGGGTATTCCATCTGACGAGGTCCATGTGTATAGTCACCATTAGTGTTGTTGAAAAAAGGTATTTACAAGGAAGAAGTCCTTGGTCTTGCAAAATTCTATCATGTGATCTCTGCTGTTGTTTCTGTTACCAAGGCCATATTTTCCAACTACTGTTCCTTTTTCTTTGTTTTCAGCTTTAACATGCCAATCACCAATAATTATTAATGCATCTTGACTGCATATTTGATCAATTTCAGACTGCAGAAATTGGTAAAAATCTTCAACGCCTTCATCTTTGGCATTAGTGGTTGGTGTATAAATTTGAATAATAGTCATATTAACTGGTCTTCCTTATAGGTGTATGGATATTATCCTATCACTGACAGCGTTGTACTTCAGGATAGCTCTCGAAATGTTCTTTTTGACGAAGAATGCAACGCCATTCCTCTTCAATTTATCATTCCCGGCATAGTAGACCATATGACTGTCTGATTCAAAATGGCCAATGCCAGTCCATTGCAGCTCACTAATGCCTAGCATATCAATCTTTATGCATTCCATTTCATTTTTGATGACCTCCAATTTTTCTAGATTCATACTTCGTACATTCCCTGTTCTGATTATTAATGGATGTTTACAGCTGTTTCTTCTCATTTTCTTTTTCTTTTTTTGTTGTTGTTGTAGTTTAAGTGAAAGTTTACAATTCCAGTCAGTCTCTTATACAAAAATTTACACATACACTGTTATGTGACCCCAATTGCTTTCCCTATACTGTGACAGCACACTTCTCCTTTCCACCCGATTTCCCATATCCATTCAACCAGCTCCTAACCCTCTCTGCCTTCTGATCTCACCTCCGGACAGAACCTCCCCATTTAGTCTCATGTATCTACTTGAGCTAAGAAGCACACTCTTCATGAGTATCATTTTATGTCCCACAGTCCAGTCCAATCTTTGTCTGAAGAGTTGGCCTTGGAATTGTTTTAGTTCTGAGAGTCTGGAGGGCCATGCTTTCTGGGGTTCTTCCAGTCTCGGTCAGACCATTAAGTCTGGTCTTCTAACTAGAATTTGAGTTCTGCACCCTACGTTTCTCCTGCTCTATCATGGACTCTCTGTTGTGTTCCCTGTCAGGGTGGTCATTGGTGGTAGCTGGGCACCATCTAGTTCTTCTTGTCTCAGGCTGATGCAGTCTCTGGTTTATGTGTCCCTTTCTGTCTCCTGGGCTATCACTTTCCTTGTGTCTTTGGTGTTCTTCATTCTCCCTTACTCCAGGTGGTTGGGACCAATTGATGCTGTTTCTTCTCATTTTGAGTCGTGCCACAACAGCAGATGAAATTCTCGACAGCTTTACTCCATCCATGTCATTAAGGTTGATTCTACTTTGAGGAGGCAGCTCTCCCTCAGTCATATTTTGAATGACTTCCAAGCTCAGGGGCTCATCTTCCAGCACTATACCAGATAATATTCTGCTCCTATTCATAAGGTTTTAACTGGTCAATTTTTTTTTTTTTTTTTTTTTTTTA